AAAGATTTGGCCGTTACAACTTGGCACCGGATCGAAGGGTGCGGAAGAGGGATGATACATGGCACTTCGGCGCCAAACGCGTCACGGACCGTAAGTGTCCGCCGATGGAAGTTGACCATGTGATCCGCACTTGCAAGCCAAGGCATGCCCAAAATGATGTCGAAGTCCGTGTCCAAGACATCAAACGTCACCGGTTCGCATGCATGAGGTGCGAAATAGACCGGTACGGCCTCGATGTAGCGGTCAAGGAGTTGTTGCGTCCTACCGTCCGCCAACTTGATTGTCGTAGGGTGTGCCTTCCTTCGAACTTGTGGGCCAAGGCCGGCCCTTTGCATAAAGGACTGGCTAATGAAGTTGCGAGCCGCGTCGCTATCCAGCAAAGCGTTGCAGGACGCTTGCCCAACTTGGATGCAGACATAAAGGAGCCGTGCGTTGTTGTCGTCGTACCCTCTGCGTACGAAACTTGCGGGCCACCTTGCTAACATACGCAAGAATGTCCCCCACTGCGACTTCGTCCTCCATCGGCGAAGTTGGTGGTGCATAGAAGGCTAGGTATGTATGTAGATGAGCGCTAAGAGTTGCGCATTGCGGCTCCGGTAAGCAGCCGGTGAAAGGGAGAGGGAGCCATGCAAAATCCTCGGGCGTCAACGGGTCCAAGTCCTTTACGTTGAACGCGCGCGCCGAATCCCATGAAGGTCCACTTGAAGACGACTCAAAGCTGCTCCTTCCGAACGAAGAGGAAACCGCACATACATCATGTCCTTGGGCTCGTGAATTCAGCGAAGGTACGAGCCAAGCAGCATAGCCCTCGAAAGAATGAAAAATGGGAGGACTTACGACTTCCGCATGTGCCCCGGAACCGAGGGAGGTTACCCGTACGGCAACCGGTTCCGAAGGCGTCGAGAGTGTCGTCACGTCACTCTCGGCGGTGCTCACTTTTCCGACTGAGCGGGGCCCTTGGCTTTCGTGGGACAGTTCGCGTTCTCATGTGCTGCGTTGTTGCACCACAAGCAATAACGGTACTTGGAGCGGACGCGATACCCGCGCTCCGTTAGACCGTACTGTGTCCAAGGTTCTTGAGCTGGAGGTGCTTGTCCGGGCCCAGAAGAAGTGGTGTTTGTCTTCGTTTTGCCGCGTCCTCGTCCTTTGGCGGGGCGGCCACCATTCTGAGCAGCTGCTAATATGTCTCCCTCGTCAGAAGAGGCAGCCTCGTTTGAAGTTGAAGGGTCGCTTGGCGTTGCCGCGGCGACCACGGCCACTTTCGGCCGATGCTGATACGCTCCCTGGCCGGCAGTCGACGAACGGCCAATGTTCTTGGCTTCCAAGTTCGTCACAATGATCTGCGCGGCCTTGTTGAAGAGATCCTCACTTGTGTTGAGGTTCTCGGCGACTTGAGTCAACGCGTTTTGCGAAGTGGGGCATGGCCGCTTAATGAAGTAAAGCTTGACGCCGTCGAAGTTCATCGGTAGCTTCGGCGTGCTCGCCAGGCGTTGGAACTCGGATATCCAGTCTCCGCTGGGCATGTTGTTCTGCGAGAATGTCAGAAGTTTGTCCATGGCCTGATGCTCGGGCGGTTCCACTTGGAAACGCTTCTTCCATGTTGCCGTTAGATCGGCCCAGGTGATGAAGTTATGAAGCTCGGAGACTGTGCATGCGTGTGCGGAGAGCATGTTGTCCAGCCATGCTTGACACACACCCCCTGATCGAGAGTACAGGTATGCGTGTCGATTCATGTCGACAACCTTGTGGATGTCCAGTTTGAGTTCGAACTGGCGCCACCAAGGTATTGGGTCCGTCTTCGTTGCATCGCATAAGATCGGGATCCCATCAAACTTGGGAATGCTCTCCCGTGGCGCTGAGCTCAGTGCGGCTGCTGCCCCCACCTGCTGGTCCAGTCGCTGTGTCTCGGTCTTGAGCGTTTCCACGTCTATCTCCAAGACGTTGACGCGGTCGACGAGGTCTGAGGGCCGGCACTGGAGGTGGCGACGGGTCGCTGCTCCAGCTGCTGTATGCGCTTAGTCAACGCATGATTGGCGTGGTCGAGAGAGTGAATGTCCTCCTGCTGTGCAATGCAAGTAGTGAGGAGGTCCGTGACGCGGTTGAGCAAGAGAGCAATCTTGGTCCCATAGTCAACAGAGTCCCCATTCTCGGCCTCCTCCTGCCAATCCCTGGCCTGTGCGTGTAACGCAGTTTCCTCCTTGAAGAGAATTTCCCGCCGCCGTACGCGTTCTTCGTCAGCGGCCTTTGCTGCTGCTGCTGCGTGTTTCTGCCGTTGATCTTCGGCCACCAAACACAGCCTCTCTGCCTCTGCCTACCTCTTCTTCCGTGCTGCTGCTGATGCTTCTGCCCGTTGCTTACTTTCGGCCATGATGGCCGCCAACTGTGCTTCATAGGCTTCGTCAGTCTCGCCGGCTTTCTGATCCATCCCTGCTGTCTGTGAACGAGTAAGTAGGGTCATGTGCCGCGGGCAGCTGACGTGGCCCGCAAACGTAGAGACTTGCCAAGGCTGTAGCCAGTACTGATGGGCGGTTGAGCAAGAAGAATAGGAGAAGGAGTTGGGAGAGGGAGGTGGGGAGTGGGGGAATCGAGTGGATTGCCCAGATAAGGAGCCACTAATCAAAGAATGAAAAGTTGGAACTTTGCGAAAAAAATTCGAGAGAAAAAAATAAATAAATAAATAATTATTAATTAATAAAATTTCTCGATTGCAAGTTTGGTAGGTTTCCTATGTTTCCCCACAACAGGTAATTCAAAAAAAAATTCGAATTTCAGACTGCCTATGCAAAGAAAAGTAATAACGAATGGAGATGATCAAAGTAACTGAACTGCAAAAAATAAAAAATCCCGCAAGTTTGGAAAATTCCGAAACATAAAAAAATTCGGAGTTTCTCGGGTGAGAGTGTGCGCAGTTTGAAAACAAATGACTGCCAGAGGAATTTCCCGTAAAAAAAAATAGTTTCCGAAACTGGGAATAACGGTCAATTTTCGAAATTTCCGTTACCCTCGGAATGCGTGAAAAATAAAAGAACATGAAAATTTTCGGAAATAAGTTCGAATAATGAATTTCAGAATTTTTTTTTCCGGAATTTCGAATTAACGGGAGTTGCGAAGGAAAAGATGAATCGGAAAAAAAAAAATCCGTAATATTTCCGGACGTCCAGCACCAGAATTTCGAATTTCATAAAAAGAAAAACGAAAATTTCAGATGCCACGCTATTGCGATTTTCCACAAATTAAAATAGCGGGAAAATGAAGTCAAAAAAAGAAAAAAAAAATTGATTTCGGCAGTTAGGTCAAAAACTGCGATTTTGGGGACTAACTGGTGTAATCTAATCAATCAATCAATCGAATCAATCAATCAATCTTTGATTGTCCCCGCGCTTGTGTCAGATCAGGTTGTCCTGATTCACAAGCGGGGCTCCGATACCAAACTGACGCATGCCCAATGGGACAATGCGTAGGAAGCCAAGGATCCGCAATGTGATGAAAAGGACTGAAATGGACAATGCAAGGTCAACGTAGCATCAACAAGCAATGTACATTCCGATACATACAAGATGGCACAAAGTGGCGCAGTGGAAGACTTGAAGAGAAGATCTGATCTGATCTAGACTGACCCGACATCCATCATACATCACACATGTGAGAGGGGAGGAGGGACCGTAAGGAAGGTCCCTCTTTCGCACACATACATGGGGAGATACCACGGATGAGAGATGGGGGGAAGGGACGAGACGAAGGAGAAGGAGGCGAGGGAGTAGACCAAGATCGCGATAGCGAAGTCCCAAGAATAGTCCCTTGCCAAGTGTCCAATCAATGTCTGTCCGAAAAATGTCGAATCAGATCCTGGGCAATGTGCCCAGCATAACCTCTGCCTGTAATCCCGACTGATAACCTCGCTCACTCTCGTAGAAATAGAAGAAGATAAGAAAGAAGGGAGATAGAGATGGAGGCGGAAGAAGAAGAAGATGGCATCCTCCTTGCTATCTCACCTGCAGGTAGCTGTCACCGTACTGACTGTGGTCGTCGTCGTGTGCAGGTACCTCGTGGAGCCTGGCTATGGCGCCAGGTAAGCTCGCTGCTTGCAGGTAAGGCCTCCGCCTCTCTCTACCACCTACGCCGCTACTCCCTATTCTGTCGTTTGGCGCAGAGTAATGCTGCCTCCAACCAGCAGCGTGTCGCTCCAGAAGTGAGCTACCCGAACTGTCCTTGCCCAGCCGCTGCCCAGCTATTTGTAGCGCTGGGCGGGCTGGACCTACCTGATGCTGGCCTCAGAAAAACGGCCCAGCTGGTCTGGGTCCCTACCGGACGTCCAGACCATGCTGCTGATGCAGCAAGGCGCAGAAATGCGCCTGGCCTAAAAATGGCCCGGTAACTGTGCACCTAGCCCAAGGCGTCGCCTTGGGACCTGCAGGACCGAAACGACGCCTGCACCTACCGGTCTGGCGCCAAAATGCGCCTGGCCTCGTTTCGGGCCTGCCTCCGGTGTACTCAGTCCCAAGGTCCGGCCTTGGGGCTGCAAGTCCGAAACGGCATCTGAACAGACAAAAATAAGACAGCACACACACACAAAAAGGTAAGTAAAACAAAGCCTATCTACCTAGTGTGCTACCTAGGGCCTGGAGGGTCGCCGTGGGCCTCCAGGGCGTGTGCTGTATGGTACGCGGCCTGGGGGGCCCTCAGCAACCGCCGGGCCCCTCAAATGGGCCCCGTGTGCAGGCGCAGCATGTAACAGAGTGTGTGTGTGTGTGTGTGTGTGTGTGTGTGTGTGTGTGTGTGTGTGTGTGAGAGAGAGAGAGA